TATTGCTCATGAACAAGGAGGTATTTGTTGAGAATATGAGGAAGAAAGGTAACTTAGGTGACTGGCCGCACCTACATAAGATGCTGACTGAACAGTTGTTACTGCACAGTGATTTAGTACTTGCATACACAAGTACTAAATGACTGTGCAATAACTGGAATTACTGTGCAGTAGCATCCCCCAATTGCACAGCAGTGTCACATCACACTTCATGCCAAGCAATGCTACTATGCAGTAGTAATAAGCCACTGCACAGTCAGCATCTTGTGTAGACATGGCGAGTGACCACAAAATGATAAGAGTTCAAGATCATAAAGGGAAGAAGGAAGGAAAGCAGCAGAATAAAGACATGGAACTTCAGAAAAGCAGACTTAGCAAACTTAGGGAACTGTTGGGTAGGATCCCCTGAAAGGCAAATCTGAAGAGAAAAGGATTTTGGGGGAACTGGCTATACAAGTGACTGCACTCCCAATCAGGAATCACATGGTCAGCAGGAGGCTGCCTGATTGGGAAGTGGGACCAGCTGCTAGATATAAGAGCAGGCTTTGAGCAGTAGGGCCAGCAGTTTGCTGCAAGCAGCTGGAGCAGGAACTTCACCTGGCTGGAGCTGCTGCTCACATAGCATCTTGGAGATACAGGGCAGGAACTACGGGGATGGCAGGAGGTTCCTGGTCCTGAGGAATAACCTAAAACTACACCCTGCAAGGGTAGGATGGTGTGGGGCTGCCTGTGGTGGGGTGGTCCCCAGGAAATGCCACACCAGTTGCCTCCCTAGTGAAATGCGAGTATGGGGCACCTTACAGCCTCAGCCTCCACAACCTGGTAGGTAAGCTGGCAAGGAAGTCGACAGGACCAAAGGTGTCCAGAGTGGGGTAAGGAGCTCAGAATAAGTGAGGGTCAAGGAGCCCAGAGTCTGGAAGGGGCATGGAGCCTAGTGAGAGGCTAGGAGCCCTGAGTGTATGAGGGGCATGGAGTCTAGTGAGAGGCAAGGAGCTCAGTGGCTAGGAGCCCGAGTGTATGCGAGGGGCAAGTATTTCCAGTATGAGTGAAGGGCATGGAGCCCAATGGGTAAGGCTGAAGTTAGGGGCCGGGATGGTAATCTGGATGCCATCTGCAAGGCATGGGACATGGTATAGGGAAAGTCAGAGCTGTGTATAACGCTCTTGGCATCAGGGCATAAAATGGGCAGCCTTCTGCATTATTACATCTTCTTTTATACATTAAGTCGTGGCAGGAAAGACATGGCAAAATGCCTTAGACAGGTGGGCAGGCCAGCTTTGTGCTCGGCCTCGGGACTTCCCCCTGTCACACTGTGTATCAATAACATTTTCCTATTATCAAATGGAAGAAGTTGTGATCAGTCTGAGGGTTTGGGTCTGCCTGGAATAAGGCATCTGGATCATAAATCCAGTGCCAACAACTGGCAACTTCATCAGAACCAGGCCCAGTACTAACAACTGGTGACTCCACTGGGACCAGGACCCTGTGACACTGGGACCAGGTCCAGTGCCAACAGACACCAAGCTGGGTAGAGTTGCAGGCACTCTGGAGGGTAGGACTAGGCTCCAGAATTACCTGGGGAGACTGTAAAAATGGCCCACAATCAACCAGGTTAAATTCAACAAGGACAAATGCTAAGTCCTGCACTTGAGATGGAATAATTGTATGCACAAATAGGGGAATAACTGGGTAGGCCACAGTACTGCAGAGAAGGACCTGGGTGTACTATAAAATGAATATGAGCCAACAGTGGCTATTGTTGCAAAGAAAGGCTAACTGTGTACTACATTGTATTAATGGGAGGGTCTCTTGCAAATCAAGTGAAGTGATTTTTTTGACTGTTCAGCACTGGCGAGGCCTCACTTGGAGTACTGTGTCCAGTTTCAGGCCCCATTCTTCCAGAAGGATGTGGACAGATTGGAAAGAATCTAAGGGAGAACAATGAAAATGGGTTAGCAATCCAGGATACACAACTTGTAAGGAAAGGCTGAAAGAGCTAGGGTTATTTAGTCTCAAGAAGAGAAGATGACTATCATTAAATCCCCCCAAAGTCAGTAAAATATTCGAAAAGTAATTATGGGAATGGGTTGGGCTTTTTCTGTAGTCGTAAGGGACAGGACTAGAAGCAGTGGCTTCAAGCTGTAGCAGAGGAAATTTAGGTTGGAGGTTAGGAGGAACTTTCTAATCATGAGGGTGGTCAAGCATTGGAACGGGCTACCTAGAGAAGTTGTGGAATCTCCATCCCTGGAAGTTTTCAAGAGCAGATTAGGCTGACACTTGACTGGGATTGTTAAATCTGGGATAATCCTGCCTTGAGCAGGGGACTGGACAAGATGACCTTGTGAGAGCCCTTCCCACCCTATTTTCCTATAATATTTGTAGCCACTGTTCATCTTTAAAGATGTTATTAATGTTCCTTTCCCATCTCAATAGGGAGCATCTCTGGTCTAATGATAATAAACAGTATTTATTAATCCTACAGATCCACTTTTTTCCATCCTATGTTCTCCAAGGATACATCAATAAACTTTGTTAGTTAAGAAAGTCTAGTATAATACATAAGTAGCAACAACATTATACTATAGTTCCTGATAATTTCACTAGCTCCTCTCTTATTTTGTGTGCAATAAATACAAACAAATAAATAAAACCCTAATCTCCAGCACAGAAAGCTTTTGTTAATTCAACACTTTTGCTCTGCCATCCTGCAAACTCACTCCCCAGACAATGTTTTGCATAGTTCAAGCCTGTCCACCAACTTCATTTCTTTGTGTGTCAGACCAAGAAGTGCATTGTAAGGTCCTGTGTTACATACTGTATTTTAAATAACATCAGAGGAATTTTTCACTTGGTCCTTTGGGCACACAAAGGCTGTTCAACAGCTACATCCCAGATCCAGCAATGAACTTATTGATATACTGCAAAAGATTCAAGTTGATTATCTCAGTAGCAATATTTAAGTTGACAGTGTAGCTAATTATGTTTCACCAGAGCTAGCGCTCAGCATTTAGCAGCTCCTACTGACTGAGTGGAAACAGCTGTGTGTGCAGCACTTCTGAAAAATCAAAACATTTGTTTGGTAATAATAATACCTCAAATAAACACCCACAGGAATGTTTGGAAAGGTTTAGTCTGATATGTTAATGGGCACTGAATTCCCTGTAGTTTTGAAACAGAACTGCAATATAAAAGTGCATTACAAATCTAATACAGTAGTGTGCATGGTTGTGATCCCTTCATAAAGCCACTAGATGGTGCTGTAGTATAATTTTAATTATTATTTGACCTGGTTTGAATTTTGAAGGAATGGGATAATTTTCATTTTAGTAAAAACTACTTTTCCTTTTCAACCAGGAGATCCATATCTTCTTTTATTTTATTATAAAATATTGCCAGATACAGTTCTCATGGAGACTTTTCCAGCCTTAAATCAAGTGTCTCTCTATGGCGTATTTATTGCATTGTATAGCAGAAGCATAACTAGGGTGGAACAAGAGGGGCACCAGCTCCGGATATTGACTTAAAGGGATCACTGGTATGCCCTCCTTCCCCTCACGAGTCTTTCCATGATATGCAGAGCACTATTATAGCACAGCCATAGGGAGCTAGGTAGGCGTAGATGGGCAGAGGCAACACCATGCTCAGCACTGTATCTAGCAGTGGGAGAGGGATGAAATGACACCCTTTTCTCCCCTCCCAGAGAGCTCTGCCATGGGAAGATCAGCCTGCCCCCAGGGGTGGGGGCATGAACAGGGCACTGCACTCAGTGGCACCAACCCAGTCCATGCTGTTAAAGCAGCAGCAGTAGCAACTGCCATTTAAGTGAGGAGATCCCGGGCAAGTAAGACTTCTCTCCCTGCTCTCCAGTAGTTGATATAATTCCTCATGCCCCCTCCCCCACCCCAGGTGCTTAAAAAGTTTGTGATGTCTCTCCTATGTAGACACACTCTACAACTGACTTTGTTTCCTTCCTGATCATCCAAATCAGTGGAAGCCAACCCTTTTGGCAGACATGCCACAAATTAGCCCCACACCCTCCAAGTGCCACATTGATCCTTTTCCCCATACTCAATCTACTGCTCTGCTTTCTGTTTCCTGCCTTGTGCTCCCTGCCTCATCTGATGCTTTGCGTTCTGCTCCCTGCTGTATCTGCACAATATTGCCTGTCCCCACGCCATACACTGAGGCTATCCATGCCATTTGTGCTACAGGTTGGCCATTACTGATCTGATTTTTACTTTACAGGCTCTGGAATGGGCTCCCAAGTGAGGTGGTACTCTTTCCTACCTTGGGGGTCTTCAAGAGGAGGCTGGACAGATATTTGGCTGGGGTGATATGACCCCGGCACCCGTTCCTGCCCGGGGCAGGGGGTCGGACCTGATGATCCATTTAGGTCCCTTCCAACTATAAGTACTGTGATACTAAGTGTCCAGATTTGGTCATCTACACCAGTGGTTCTCAACCTTTTCCACCTTACGTCCCACCAACCATTCATCCCAAAAATCCTGGTTCCCACCATGATAAATGATGAACGAGGGGATTTTTTTTTTGGGGGGGGGGGGGGGGTGTCCCCTGGCGGCTAATCGACAAACTCCTGCTTCCCTCCCCCGGGGTCCCTGCCACCTGGCGGGCACAACTTGGCATGGCTGGCAGCAGTGGGGATCTCACTTCACTGCCCTGGTGACATGCCCCCTGTGCCTGCCACTGCTTTGAAGGGTGCAGCCTCACACTGCTGCCCTCACTGCAGCCCAGCATGCAGGAAGTGCTTCACTGGGGCAGTGCAGGGTGAGTGGTGGCAAGACGGTCCCAAGAAGATCCCTGAGTGACTCCTCCACTCCCTACATCACCTCAGAGAACAGTAGTGCAGAGAACTCCCTGCAGGGAACAGCTGCTGCCCAGCTTCCCTCCCTTGCGACCTGGCAGTGCAGGGAACAGAGGAACCACAAGGGAACTTTTCACCGCTGCTCACCCCGTGCTGCCCTGGTGAAGCGCCTCCTGTGTCCAGGGCTGCATGGCTGCGATGCAGGGCTGCGCCCCTCAAAGAGCAGCAGGGCAAGCAACCGCTGTTCCCTGATACTCTGCTTTCCTCCCCCGGGTGCCTCTGCAGCCCGGCGGGTGCGATTGGGCACAGCTGGGAAGAGCAGGGCTGCAACAGATCTGAACCTCTTTCCAGTTTCTTTGCACAGAACTCTAACCACCAAATCATAGATCAGGTACTACTCAAGACCTTTTGCAGCACTCCTTTTGAAATGGAGTCACTGCTCCTTGCATTTAATATAGTCATTAGAAAAAAAAAGGGTCAAGGGACAGTGCAGGGGGAAGCTTCTACCTTGCTGGGAGCAAGGGCTCTAATTAGAAGTCAAGGGCCCCTCTTTTCCAGGCCTGCAGTCACTTCATTGAAACACACACCTTTTGTTACTCTTGGCCTCATATATTTCCCACATACTTTTCTATCATTGCTGCCCAGGAGGACAGCTTCAAAAGGAGAGCCATATAATGACCTAAAAGAAGGCTGTTCAACTGGTGGCCCATGGGCTGCATGTAACCCACAAGGGTTTGCCTGGCTCCTGCCCAGCTGCAACTCCTATCGCTCTGACTGTAACAGAAGACAGAGTCTCCAGTTTCCCCCTGTGGTGGGGCAGTGCAGTGTGGTATGGCTGGGAGAGCTGAGCATGAGCCTGAGCACACAATACAGTAATAGACAGGGAGTAAAGTGGGGACCACATGGTGTAGTGGTGGAATGAGGGGGAGAAGGGGTACTGCTTTCCAAATGCAGTGCAGCTCAGGAGCTTGCCCTGGTGTGGCCTGTGGGTATGCATCCCCTGCTGGTGTGGCCCACAGGGCATTAAGCCCCAACCCACTTAAAAGTTGGGCAACCCTGGCCTAGAAAATGGGTGGTTAGAGGAGTGTGTTAGGAAGCCAGAAGAACTCAGGTTCAAGCTCCCTCTGGGTGAAGAGAGTCTAGAATACAGATGTTCTAGCTTCTAAGAGTGCTCTAGTCCATTGGTGCTCAACCCTTTTGCCCGGTGGGCCAGATGGGCAGTGCCCAGTCTGTCAGTAGGCTGGATTGGGCCCATGGTCCTGATCCAGTATCCACAGCAGGTGGAACAGGCCCCTTGTGGCTGCGTGGTCCCAACCTGGCCCTGCATAGGTGGGGGGAGGCAGTATGGCCTGGATCTGATAAAGCTGTGGGGATGGGGAGGAGAAGAGGACATGGCCTGGCCCTGATCCAGCCGCAGGAAGTAGGTGGGAGGGTCAGCAGCCGGGCTCCAACTCACCATGTGGGACTTGGAGTTTTGGAATTTGGCGGGGGAAGGGTGGTCAACTGGTGAGGGAATCCCTCAGGTCAGATACGATGGCTCTGTAGGCTGGAAGTTGAGCACCACTCTTCTAGTTACTCAGCTATTGGAGGAAAAGCTAGGAAGTCACTCTCTTGGCCATTCTCCTTTCCTGATTTTAACTTTGGTTGTCATGGGTTTTAGTCATCTACATTTTTAGGTGTCTAAGGCCACTGCATGTCCAGAAGGGACATGCCCATGTGTCTGGCTATGGATGCAGTCAATGTGTACCTACTATACATGTAGGCTGGTCATGTGCAGATGACTATGCATACAGATTATGCAGCCAGGAACAGAAATCAGATGTAGGTGTGACATCTTTGGCAATGACATGACCAGAAATGCCACACAGGCTGCAAACAAACCTCCATAACATTTTTGTGGAGGCAGAAAATGTGAGCAAACAGACATCTCTTCTCCTTTTTGTGCCCCAAGTGCTCCCAAATGGTGACACAATGATTCCCAGTAACAGTCTCTGCCACCTTTTCATGGTGGACATCTATTCATTTATAGTGTGATAATACAGGCAGCCCAGGGCTGACCGTACTCTTCAGGTACTCCAGGCAGGTGCCTCCTAGGGTTTCAGAGGCACAATCTTGCAAAACAAGGCCCTGGGTGCCTGGCACCAACCTGGGGGTTTCCTGGAGAATGCCATTTGTTTCCCACTTGACACTTGAAGAGGCACACCACACAAATTCTCTTGTAGGTTATGCATTTCATGCTGCAGAGCAGACGAACGCCATGGGGCTTGGCACAGATGATATGACTGAATGACAGAGGCAGATGCTGCCCAGGGCCGATGTCCTGGGAGTAGAGGGGCATGATCTTGAAAGACAATGGCCCCAGACAATGTCTGTCTCCAACAATTAAGTGGATCAGCTGTGCTGGGACACACGCGATGCTAGCACAGCTGATCCTGCCACAAAAGCTATGTCTATTTGTAGCCATAGATGACCCAATTTGGATACTGGATGGCCAGGAAGAGAACAGAAAGCCACCCTAAGTAACCAACAGATGACAGCCCCCCACCATGGCAGCTTGTGTAAATTTTCTTGGTTTATTTTTTCTATTGATCCTTACCAGGAAACATTCAATATAATTAATGATGACATAATTAATTAGCAAACATTCCTGGCCTAGGATTAAAAAAAAAAGACAATATAATGAATATTTCTTGCAGGTCTGTCATCACTTCATGGCACGAAACTTTTCCAAGTTCAATGGAATAATCAATCTTAAAGGAAATAGGAGAATATTTCTTTTTCCTGGAAACTTATCTGAGACTTTAGAATGCTCGTCTCAAGAAAGTAAAAGGAACTTCTGAGGTCATTGCTCACAGAAGAACAAACAAAAGTCATTCTTTAGCCTTGTTTGCAAAACACTTAAGAAAAACAAGAAAGAAAGCTCACATGCACACCCAAATGGAAAAAAAAACCCACCCAGTAAAAAGCCTAAACTCTAGAAACCTTTTGTGAAGATGGAGAAATCTAGGTTACTTGTTGGACTCTTTTTGGTCTGTCTACACTTTTTCTCACCAGTTCAATTTAAATTTAATGCGTTTAGAGATTTAATTCAGTCCAGCAGATTCTGAATGCATATACAATGGGCAAAACTTTTACTTTGTATGCCTAAATGGCAGTTTTCCAGCAAAATAATGGCTGTTTTTGGCACTTACAGGTTATGATTAGGCTTGGCAGAATTCAATTTTATTTTTTTTTATAATTTCCACAGCTACAATCAATGTTTCTTTTTTACCCTTTCTTTAGACTTTTATCTATTTAAATTTCAGGACTGCATGGAATTAGGGGTGTAGGGGGCAGATAGTTTAGTAATAACAGTATACTGTAAAAAACTTTATAAAAATCACATTAAAATATATAAAAGTAAATATCCAGAAATCAATACAGCATAACTATTTTAAATCATTCTGTTCATTCACCAGGAAGGAGCTGGGCAGGTAGGGACCAGAAGAGAGCAATGGCACTCTGGAGCTCTGGGAATACAGGGAGAGGCAGCAGTTTCCCAGCCTAGGATGGGAAGTAGCTCCCTGCTCCTGCTTAGGGGGTCAGCCCCACCAGGCGGGTACCAGCAAGGGGTCGCCCATCCCCTTAATGGCCATGGCCTCCTGCCACCCCATGCAGCACAGGGGTATTGGCTGGGTCCCAGGGGCACTCCTATGCACCCTGCCCTGAGGGCACAGAGGCTAGGCCAGGCAGGAGCTCTGGGAACACAGGGAGAGGCAACATGATCAGAGCAGGGTGTGCAGGGGCGCTCCGGGGCCCAGCTGCTGCCCCATGCTGTAAGGAAGGGCGGAAGGCCACAGCCATCAAGGAAACAGGTCACCCCTGTGCTGGTGCCTGCCAGGCAGGGCTTGCCCTCTGAGGTGTTGTGGGGAGCAGGGATCTGTTTCCCACCCCAGGCTGGGAGGCCACTGCCTTTCTTCGTGTTCCCAGCACTGCTCCCCAGCCTGGTTCCTGTGTGATCAGGGTAGGGGCAAAACTCCCAGCAAGACCCAATCACACAGGGGCTGTCCCGGACTCACTGGAAGTCTGGTGTCCAATCCACGGCTGGGACCTCGGCAGGGGGAGCAGCCAGCAACACCACCCCGGGCTGGGACCTCGGCAGGGGGAGCAGCCAGCAACACCAGGCTCCCACCTGCCAACAGCCCTTCCCCTCCAACCCTCCATCCCAGCACAGCCCCCAGCTCCTTCAGTGGCTGCTTGAGCTGCTGCCAAGGAGCAGTGTGCGGGTGACACAGCTGGGGCTCCTCCCACCACACTTCAAGTGGCTGCTATGCACATGCAGGCTGCTATGCACATGCACATGTGTGCATGCAGCAGAAATATTTTTCTGTCAGTCTGTGAGTGATAGGTGAAATGGATGTTTAGCGATAGAAATAGGTTCATGCCAAGCCTAGTTATAATTCTACTACTCCCACACTGTCGATCCTAAACATGTGCACACAGACTTAACGTGCTCAACAGACTACACCCTGGCTGGGCAGATATACAGATTTGTATGCATGCCCACTGGTGGGGAGATATAAGTGCATGTAGGTTACAGACATGTAGTAGGACAAAAGCCCATTGCTAACAGGTATTAGCTGTCAGAAGAAGATGGTCCTTTCATGTTATAGCTAAAATTGAATAGTAGGGGCATTCACCCAGGGGGAAGGAGATTTAGCTTCCTGGACCCACTTACCTACACATGGTTTGAACTTTTGTCACTCTATCTTCTCATCTCAGTGCTGTAAGCACCACACCACAGATTAGACACTATTCAGGACCTTCTCCAGCACTCCTCTTGAAGCTAAGCCACTGCACCCTGCACTTAATCATCAGCTAAGATGGACAGCAAGTAGGGTCTGTCCTGGGGAAATTTCTGCCTGACTGGGGACAAGGGTCCAGGCTAGAGCCCAGTGTTGGCTCCCAAGAACCATCTCACTGAGTCAGACACCCTCCAGTATGTTCTCTTCCTCCTGACCCCTCTTTTGGTTGCTCAGGGCAGAAGGACAACTTCAAAAGGAGCATTTATGGGTGCTGACAGAAGTGGACCCCCCCCCAAAAAAACAAAACCCCCCAAAATCAGCACTTTACCAGCCAGCTCCTTTTATAATCATTCTTTTTTTTTAAACTATGATAGCAAAAATTAAACACGTATACACAATTTTACAATGTTTTATCTGAGCATTTTCTTTAAAGTGTATTTCCATGAAGTTTTATATTGAGGATTGCTTATAGCTTTGAGACATCAGGTTATTATAATGCCAAACCTCAAATGAATACTATAGAAAGATAGCCTGTAACTAAAAATTTCAGAAACAAAGCCAATTAAATTGCACTTACCATAGACCATAAAACTGAATTCTGTTATCACATGTCTATCATTATGCATATAAATAACGCTGCAGGTGTAACTCCCAGAGTCACTTGCATGAATGTTATAGACCTCCAAGTTGCCTTCATCAGTTAAAAGAAATCTTTGTGATTCTGGAAATAAGTGTTAAACACATCATTTTAAATTATTATTTTTATCTAATTATAAATGTATTAACAATCCTAGAAGTAGGGATCAGAACCTTGGGCACCACCATTCCCAAATGAAAACCCTACCTTCAAGGCTACCAAGTCAAGCTACACCTTGCTTCAGGGGTGGGGAAAGTACAGCGCACGAGCCATATCTGGCCCACCAATTGATCCTATCCAGCCCACTAGATGCTGCCTTCAGAGGGCTGTGCCCCGTGCCACTCTGCCACAGCTGGGTCTTATCCAGGCAGCACACAGACCCCTCCATGTGACCCATCCACCCCACATCCATCCCTCTGCTCAGCTTCCTGTTGGCACTGTGACTGTATAGTCCTGGCACCACGGCCACCAGCAGCCAGGACCACATGGGACAGGGTGCAATGCAGTGCAGCCAGTAGCTGTCCCACACACCCACTCACCTGCCATGAGAAGCCACTGCCACTGCAGGGCCAGTAGGAGGTGAATCTGAGCTGGTTGCAGTGGGGGCTTTGTCGGGGGCAGCCGCTGCTGACTTCCCTGGTGCAGCGCGGTGATAGTGGCTCATCACAATGGACGGCTACTCAGCATGTTGTATTGCACCCCATCCTATGCAGGCCCAGCTGCTGGTGGCCATGGTGCCAGGATTGTGCAGTACCAACAGGAAGCCAGGCAGGGAGAAAAGCAGGGATGGATGTAGGGGAATGGAGGAATCTGCACTCTGCTCAGCCTGGTCCTCATTGAAGCACAGTGGAGTGGCATGTGGCGTAGCCCTCCCTCCTCAGGCTCCTGGCAGCAGCTGGCAGGCCAGATAGGATCATTTGGCATCTCCCCACCCCCTGTAGCCCTCAACAGCTTACCAAAACTCACTAAGTGGCCCTCCAGCCCAAATAATTGCCCATCTCTGCCTTAGTTATCATCTCTTCAGCTCCATATGCCTTGCATTTCCTTCCTACAGTTTCTACAAGTAGGGTAGGTGCCCTTCCTTTAGTTCAATTTTTAGCATTGCTATTAGGACAGTTTTCTGGAAGGTAAGAAATGAGGGTTTGAACCCTTATCCACCTCATACTGAAGTAGGCATAGAATCCAGATCTTCCACTAGGGTTTTATATAAAAAGTGTCTGGCGTTACCATCACCACCTCCTTCTGCTGCATTTTAAAAGAAAACAGAAAGCCCCCTTCAGTTCTTTCAAGCCATAGATGTAGACACCAGCCTTCAGCAGAGGACTCCACAGTCTGGATCTTGAGTGAATAGATGTGCCATCTGCAGGCCTGCATCAGGTACCTCAACTCTAGAGAGTGGTAGGTTTTCAAGGCATTTCCCTGTTCTTTAAGTTTTTCATTGGCTTGATCTTCTCATGTGGGTTTTTAGGATGTAAAGAGACATTGCCCTTGTGCCAAGTACACAGACATCCTAGTTTCTTGTCATACTTCAAGTGCTTCAAAATGTTGCCATGACTAGAGGTGCACTGATATATCAGTGCCATATCGGATTGGCACTGATAAAAGGAAAATTAACATTATCAGCTATTGGCTTTTTTGGCAGTGTAGCCAATAATATATCAATAAATATAATATGCCTGCTGGCCGGGGCCCCTGGATGCTGCATGCATGTACGCAGCCACATGCATGTTCTGATCATGAATGCAGTCAGGCAGCGTGGTGAGCAACACCCTGCAGGTAAGTCTGTGGAGTGAAAGAGGCATTGAGGAGGAAAGGAGGGTGGGGAGGAGGCATAGATCAAGGCCCCTACGATGAGGGAGGGAGTGGGGCGGGGGCAGGAGCAGGGGTTGCGGCTGGGGCAGGGCGGTGAATGGGACTTGTCACGACCCAGTGATTTTGGTGCCTCGGCACTATGGAATTTCCTGGCCACATGAGAGCTCCTTTGCACGGCAGAGTGTTCTGCTGCAATTGAGAACCCGCGTGTAGGAGAGAGTTCCCGCCAATTTGCAGTTTCCTTTGCAGGATGCATTTCTTCCTTGCAGCACAGAAATGCACGGTGCAAAGAGTTCCTGCTATTCGAATGTAAATTTGTGCCCCGCTATTGGCCAGTGCTAAATTATTCACACGTGGCGGCTAGTAATTGGCTTGCTAGCCGTTTAAAATTCCACGCGACTTCCGCCCAAGTCGAAGAGCTTTGAGCACGCTGCAGAGTGCCTCTGAAGTTATCTGACTTGCGGC